AGCTGAGCTGGGGAGGCAAACTTTGCACAAAGCTGGCAGCCGACATCACTGCGCAAACAGAAGACACTCAAAGGAGATCCTGGCATCAGGGCAGATTCCAGAAGCTTCAGGACCCCTGGGACCACACAACAGGGATCTGGCTCATATCAGGAGACTTGAACGAACTCCCTCTGCTCTGCACACTTCCTGCCACCACACCCCCAACACACAGACCTGCCTTACGAAGTCTCAGAGCCCTGGGGACACAGAGGATGGCTCTCAGGCAGATGAGTCATTGACTCCCATGCCCCTTTGAACGTCAAATCCTTTTGCATTACAGCTTCCTCCACCCACAGCTGAACTGCTCCTCCTGACACATCAGAGGGGATGCTGTGAATGACCTGGACTCCAAACCCCAAGGGGCACCGTGGGTGAAACCCATCTTCAAAGGACTGAGGAGGATTTGAAGTCTGCAGATCATTATTTCCAGCTGCAGGGGAGGCAGAGGAGCCCTGCTGAAACTCCCAGGAAGTGTCACTGAAGCCACAGCTGCAAGATAATCAGAGTGCAGTTCAGCGTGAGGCAGAAAACCCAACATGACCCATCAGTTGGTGAATGAGAGGCTTCGCTCTTTGGGGGATCCTATTGTTCGTGTGACTGCTTTCTTGAAGGTCTCACTTTGCCCAGACACACACACACACACACACACACACACGCACGCACACGCACACGCACACGCACATATGAAACTATTAGCAATAAACTCCATTCTGGAGATTTCTACAGCAGCTATAGTGCACCCCAGACCATCCTCTGTCCAAGATTGAGAAGAGTCGAACGTGGGCTGACCAGCCATCCCCAGCTTATCACTTCCCAGCCAGCGGTTGCCACAGCAAAACCTGCTCAGCAAAGCAGTAATGAAAGAGAGACCCAGGTGGAGACCAGCACTTTTCTGTAGCAGCGCAGCGCAGCCCGGATGAAGAACAGGAAAACGTGGATGGTGGGTGGTACCCCCTCCAAGGCGGCAGCGAATCTAGTTGGGTCTGGGACTCTGAGTCTGGGGATAAATTTCAGCAGGAGTTTTCACAATCTTTGGGTCTCCTGGCAGTTTGTTTACACGGACTATATAAATAAGCCACTTGGGCACTGTTACAGGCTGAGCTGTGTCCCCCCACCCCCCGAAGTTCACATGTTGAAGTTCCAACCCCTTGTACCTCAGGATGTGACTGTCTTTGGAAATAGAGTCTATAAAGAAGTGATTATGGTAAAATGAGGTCATTAGGTTGGGCCCTCATCGAATATGACTGGTGTCCTTACAAGAAGAAATTAGGACACGGAGCACACAGAGGGAAGGCCACGTGAGGACACAGGGAGAAGGTGACCATCTAGAAGCCGAGGAGAGAGGTCTCAGAAGAAACCAACTCTGCTGACACCTTGACCTTGGACTCCCATCCTCCGGGATTGTAAAACAACGCATTTCCACCGTTCACGCCGCTCGGTCTGTGCCGCTTTGTTATGGAAGTCCTAGGAAACGCATGCACGCTCCCCACCACGGACAGCGTGAACGCACCCTCATAATCAGCGGGACTGCCCGTTCAAGGGCATCCCAGGCCGGATGGACTCCTACCCTTGCCTGCGAGTCTCCAGACAATTTTGTAATTTTTAGATTTTAGTGTCAGAGGTAAAGCCCCAGTTCCCCACCCTCGTTTCAACTTTGACACCAAATGGAATCTAATCAACGCTTGTCCCTTCTTGACAGCTGGCTGTCTTTCCGGAATGCCTTTTCCACGTGCAGCCCTCGGGGATGCC